CAAAGCAAACTCTCCATACATGATATTCTTCCCGTGGTTCTTCACAAAATAAACACCACAGAAAGAACTGTGCTCCACAGTTCGGTTTGCATTAATTTTGGAAGTTTAGCAACAATTCAGCTTCGAGCGATTTGGCGCCCCATTCAGTCGTTGATATTCCTACCTGACTGGTGAAGCACGAGGAAAAGTGGAATCACCATTTCATTCCGGTGATTCATTCATTCATTAATTTCATGCCTACGTTGCAAGCAGTTCTACCACTTCTTGCAAGAATGAGCGTGTAGAACATAGAATCTTCCGAAACAAAAAGGTAGGACTGCTTACAGCGTGGGATGCGAAACTTTTGAAATGATGCCGTCTGGATTCTGGAGCACAGTTCTTTCTCTGATATTTATTTTGTGGGAAAAGAATGTCATGTTATGATAGTTCACTTTCCTAGACGGACAACGTCTGCGTACTTCTGTTGCTTCAGCCGTCCTACCCAACTAAACATGTCTAGACGTAGAGAAGGTCTGGCTTTAAAAGAGTGGGACAGTAGATACATTCGTCATTCCTCTCTCAGTTGGCAATCTTCAGCTTTCAGGCCGAGCTTGTGAAAGTGAGTTCTGCCAAAATGTCAACTCCGAACCTGATTTCTTAAAACCATTTGTCGTCTGCGAAACGAGATCCTCGTCCATTACCAGTTTTTCAACCCCTTTTATCAATACAAAAAGAGACTGTAGTGGAGTGTGGCTACGGAGGTCGCTGAAAATTGAGTCTGATAGATCCACACTGTATTTTTTCAACACCATCCCCAAAATCTCAAATGCAGAACATTCGATGTTCATAGCCGAAGTAGTTGATTTATCATTACTTGAGCCAAAGAGAAAACCTACCCAGAACCACATCCGTTATTTGATAAGTGCTATTCCAATGACTTCCTCTGATGATCTTTACATGAATTACAGGCTATCATTCGGAATGAGGCTCGCATTACTAACCCTACTCCTGGTCGTCGCTGTTAGCGGAGGTTTCTTCAGTAGAATAAAAGAAAAGACAAAAGAAGTATTCAGCAATGGACACCATTTTGCACAAAAGCTGAAAAACGCCACCAAAATTGGATTCCAAAAGGTTCCTTTAGGTTTCTTCACAAAGTTGGTCGACGTAAATGGCCAATTATAGCAGTATTTCTTTCCCACTTTTGTTACTAGTCTTCATGTTTCTCATGTGATTACAGTTCCTCATGAAGACGGGCTTGATGAAAATTCGCGATAAGTTCAGAAAGGTGAGAGACAAAGCGCTAAAATTGCTGCAGCTGACACCAGAGATGTTAAAGTCCCTCAAAGAAAGGCTGAAGGTACGTTAATTAGTGTAATTAGTGACTCTAACTAGTCCCGCTTTTTTTCGTTCTGTTTCAAAGTTACGGCACAGAGGTACAGCTTTAAGAAATTGTGCCCATATCAGAAACCCTCAGCCTATCCTATGCGGAAAACCTTTCAATCTGATATCTGAAACTTACAGAAAATGACACTGTTCAAGAGAGATAAAGTGCAAGCTAACGGAGACACTGTCACTGAGATCAACGCGAAAACTAAGGTTGACAAGGTTCTCTACCAAGCTGATATACTTTTGACCCCGTAAGTCACTAATCTTGAAACCGCTCCTAATACACTCACTCACTCTTCTAAAGGGCTCAAGCGGACGAGATAAT